ATCTAGGTATTGTCTGGGGGGTTTGTAATAATCTTGGTGTTTCAACTAGGTGGTGGTAGGACTCAGGTGCAAACACAGACTTGAAGGAGGTTCGAAAAAAGGGTTTATTCTAGAGATCACAATAATTGACTGGGTAAGTAGGGAGAGATTTTAGGAAGTCCAGACTTGAAGGTGAGTTTGTGGATCCGAGTGTCTGGCGTGTGGCTGTCAATGCGAGGAGGCATGTGGCAGCGGAGGTCTAAAACAAAGTGGAAAAACACAGTGGTCAATAAACAACTCCAGGGCAAAGAAGCACAAGATACGAGTATCCTCTAGTTGGCCTTACAACAGTTACCACGGATGGCGAAAAAAACAATCTGGCACCAGCCCTCCAGAAGGCAGGAGATTAAGAGCAGAGTGGTGATGAGCTGCGACGCCCCCTGCACAGAGACACCACCACAACACAGAGAGAGAGCACACATCCCAAGCAGCAATATATCCCAAGTCGTAACACGAAACCCCCACACTGAGTCTCCTCTGCCCGGTCTTCTCTACACCCTCCGAGACCAGCCTGTCAAATGACATCATTCTTCCACCATCTCTCTTCCCCTCTGTATGAATTAAATTCAAACAGTCCACATTTGTATGAATCCCCAAAATGACATATTGTTGTGGTGGGGTCCTTGCCAATGAACTGCCATAGTGGCCGTGGGAAGAACCACTGTGCTCCACCTTAAAATGACAAATCTAGTAACACCTGACTGCTAACCATGTCATGAGCAGGCATGCAAACTGGTAAGTGGCAAAAAAGGTGAGAAGGATAGGTGAGCAGAGAAACACAGAGGCCGTGAAACCATTTTGGTCCTTTACAGACTACTGATGAGAGCAGGGACCTGATGTCAAGCCCTTCATACCGAAGAATCTACTTCCTTATTATGCTAAAGGGGGGATGATGGGACAGAGAGACTGGGTTTCCAAAGGGGTTCCAACTTCTCCCAGAATAGTTTAAATTGAACTAAGACAGGAATGAAATCTGGTCTTGTTGTTGTGATGTGTTCAGTAAATGGGTCAAAGTTTTTGCTCTGCTAAACAGGAGGCCAGAGCCCTGATAACTGAAACTATGAAATGATTCCTTGGAGAGGAACTCCAGCTGCCATCAGCCACCCACAGAGTGCTGCTGATG